TATGAAGGCTCGAGAACTCTTGATATTGGTTATTTCGGAGGTTTGACAATTTAACCTATGAAATGTTTTAATTTTGACATTTTACATAAGTTCCATATAATGTAAGGACATGTATTATTTTCCTGTCAAAGCGACGTATTTTGAATGTTCTAACAAAGAAGATATTTGAATGCAGTATTCTTCTAATATTTTAAGTGGCTTTGATTTATGACTTTAGCTCTTGGTATTAACTAATTTAAGAAAGCTGATTTTACAATAATTTAAGTTTTCATATGGTAGAAGGTGTATTGAATGCTGTCTGGTCCTATTTTTTATGTATAAAAATATATGATTTTGTTATATGAAAATGGTCGGTTCTAGTTTTTTTTTTTTTTCTTTTTTTTGATCTTCGTCGGCAGCAGCAAAAAGTAACAGAATCCCACTAAAAGATGAAATTATAGCCTTGGGTGGCAAAGTATGAAGAAAAAATATAAATTACCATCTCAAAGTACGCATTTTCTACGACATGTCACCCTATGAAGTATATCTCAGAAACATATCACATATCTAAGGGAAAAATTATACCAACTTCTATGACCGTATATCGTTGGTAACATTTTTGTCAGTCTTTTTTTATACCCTCCACCATGTAATGGAGGGTATATTAAGTTAGTCATTCCGTTTGTAACACTTAGAAATATACATTTTTGACACTACAAAGTATATATATTCTCAACCAGCATAAAATTCTATGTCGATTTAACGATATCCGTCCGTCTATCTGTCTGTGAAAATCACTATTTTCTTCCGAACAAATTGAAGTAGGCTGATAAAAATCATATGCATGTATTGTAAATGAGGCATATAGGTCCACGTGTTAGTATAGCCCCCATAGAACGGTACCTTCCTATATTCGATATTTTGATGATTTTTGAGACATTATTCATACATTGCGGCATTGTTTCAAAATACGTATTTCAGTTCGTAAAGGATAATACAGCCGGTGAAAGAAAATTGCATATGCAAGTCCAGGTCTTTGTACAACGCTTTTTGAAGATTTCCACATTTTTTCAAATGATAGAGGGTATTCAAAGCCCAACCCTGCCGAACTTACTGCTTTTTTACTTGTGTGTTAATATTTTTTTTTTCTGAAAATTTAAATTGGACTTCGAAAAATTTAAATATATTTATATCCTTCAAAATAATGACTTGAAAGTGATTTTTGGCAAATATGAAAAAAGGTTGAAATTGAAATTCTCTAGAAATTATTTGAGAATTTATCCTTTATTTTTAATTTTAGAAATGTTTAATTTATATTTAGCCATGCCCATATATTATATATATTTATATTTTATGGATGATATATGCAAAATTTTAGTAGCCAAAACCGAATAATTCAATCGAACTTTTGAGTTTCAATCAAAATCTAGAATTAAAATTTGTTTATTATATATTTGTTTAATAATTTGTTACAAAAAAATTCCCAACATCATATTTCAACAGGAGTTGAAAGTTCATACCGCGAAGCTACTTATAATTAGACGGAAGATTTTCCTTCTATAGCAAATAACAATGGAAGAGTGTTGTTTTCGCTGCTTTGACATTAAACCGACGTTTTATAAGGCCGACAAAAATTAATAGGTCACACGATCGATTTTTTTTTTCTTGGAAAAAAATCAAAATTGAGAAGCTCCTAAAAACTAGAATAAAGTTTATTCAAAATTTTTAAAATCTTATTAAATTTATTTTTTTTTCCCTGAACTAATTCCTAAAAACCATGAATAAACCCAACCGTACGAATATTTTGTGCCCTCCACAACATGCCCTATCTTTTTTTTTAAAATCTCTAAAATGGATATATAGAGTAAGTCCCCCACTCATTATTAATCTTTCTTCCAGAAATTATTCTTTCGGTTACGAATCCGAAATTATATTAGAATTTAAATGCATCCAATTGCAGGGGTTACCGTTATATAGAGATTATGTCAAAATATGAATCGGATATCGAAAAATGATGGTAGGTCAAAAATTCTTTATATAAATTTCAAAATTGCAGAAAATTGAAATGACACACTTAAATTATAGGTAGTATCCCCATTATATCCAATATTTTAAGGGTTTCATTCCAACTTTTTTTAAATTTGAAACTTTTAGAACTAAATGATGGTCATACACTGAAAATATTCTAATGTAAGATTTTATGTCCTCTTAAAACCTAAACGCAAAATTGAAGAATGGAAAAATGTTTTAAATTCGGAGATATCAATATAAGAGCAATATTTTAAAAATAAGACAAATGTATTTTTTTTGTCCGAAAAATGTTTCGACGGTTCGAGATTTGGGGTCTGTTTTGTATGGCCATACGAAAGTGAATACAAAAAAATTGTCAAATTTTAAGCTAAATTCAAAATTTGGAAAACATATCTGAAATGGAGTTTATCAGTCACATTCGTCATAAACTTTGTCTTATTTTTTTTTTTTTTTTTTTTTGTTTTGGAAGTTGTGACTAAAATTATAAAAATATCGAAATATGTACCAAAGACATAAAAGTGTAAAGATAGGACAAGACAGAGTCAAAACATGGCAACCCTGTGAAAATACCTCTGTTGTTACGATATCATAACAACATAATTACCAATGTTAACTGATTTAAACCGCTAAAGCAATATGCAAATTTTTGGAAAGGTCTATAGAATAAAATTTCGAAACCAAAATTTTGGATTTTTCAAAATTTTATTTGTTATTCGTTTCTGTAACTGTGGTTTTTATATTAACATGTCTCTGCCATGAGCTGTTACTCTATGTATTGTAGACACAAACCATTTGCTCAAAATGCATTTTGTCTAGTCTTTACCATTTTAGGTCTTTGTATGTACGTCGCACGTAACCAAAAGAGTATTTCAATTACCAAAAAAAAAAAAAAATAAATAAATAAAAAGTACAAAAAATATCAGAAAAATTAAAAATCAGCATTTAAAAAAAAAACTCTGTCCTAATTCCATCATTGTTGCTTTCATAATAATATGGTTTAATAATAACTGAAAAAATTACAATGTTTCAGGGATAAGGCAGGCAGGCCATGATTTCAGAAATAGCCATCAATAGCCGTTAGTTCCCAAGGTTTTTTTCTGCAATTGAAGCAATTTAGAAACAACTCCTATGACAAACATTTTGAGAAAAGAAACAAAGGAACCAACGAATCAATGGAAATCTTACCATAGCACTTATAAACATTTTCAATTTTTTTTTTCAAATATGTGTTTCCAATTATTTTATGTTAAAATAATTAGCATTGTCCTCTAATCCAATCTGATGATATCTTTCGAAATAAAATGCAAACTCTGATATTCTTTTCGTTTCCGACTGCAATTGACTTTATAACTTAAGCTTGTCACAGAAAATGCCAAGAAACTCCAAAAAATAACAGGAAAAGTTTAAAATGCAATTTGCGGAAAAAATTAAATTTCCATATCTTTGTTAAGACGGAGTGAAGATTATGGTCAATAGAACCTAATTATTATAAATATAAATACAACTTCAAAATCAGAATATTATGCCAAATTTTTCCAGGGCGTCCAAAAATGAAAACAAAAAATAGATTACTCAAAATAAAGTTAAATTGTTTTTTTTTTAATCATTAATTTCTTTCTACAGGCTTTACATATACCATACGATATTTTACTAAATTAAAAGTCGATTTTTCCAGCACTGATAAATAAATGAAAAACAAATGCTAAAATATGCAAAAAATGAACGGAAAAAATTCTCAAATTAAACGAGTACGTATTTTGTGTTATTTTGTTTTGAGATTTGTTTGCCGATAAATCTTACAGTCGCAGAAATAAATATTTCCTATTTTATTTTTGCAAATATATTTTTTAAAATAATTTCAACTGAAAATTTGGACTTGTTTGGAAATAAAGTGCATACACTGATCATTTGTTATTTTTCAAGGATAATTTGAGTGGAACCAAATTTTTCTTTCCTTTTATCTGATGTGTTATACTAAGCGAGAAACGTCTAATAGACTGAGAAGAAAACAAGAAGTGTTGAGCCGGGAGAAAACCAAACGCGAGTAAATCCTCAAATTTTAAATTATTGCAAAGGCTGAGGAAAGCTCATTTTGAAAACTACGGACAACAGAAAATAATTGTAGGGGAATCTTGTACAAAATCAGTATATATTTACCTATCATCTCCAAAATTGATGATTTTCGACATCTACCCGAACCCACAACGTTATTGAAAATTTTGCCTTATTGGAAAATATAAAAACCTTTGAGAGTCTAGGCTCAGTTTTTGATTATAAACCGAACCTTAAGTAAAATTTTGTAATGGGCAAAAAAATGTTGTATATAGCTTGATATAAAACCAAGGTTCGCAGCTAAACGCAGTTAAACCGATTAAACTTCCTAATATATGAAAATTGTAAAAAAGTCCGCTTAATGATAAAAATTTCGAAGTGTTACAAAATTTTGAAACCAAAAACATATTTACCCTCCATATTAACCGGTATATTACAAGAATCTTAAGATTAAGGTTTACCGAAACCCTCCCAATTTAGGAGCAACCGTAGACGCACGTGTCTCTAGGGCAATGATATATAGAAACCAAATTTAATTGGTCTTTCGTCATATATTATTGCTCCAAATATAAGGCCTGTTTGATAACTCAATAATTTTAATTAGTAATTTTTCTCATTAAAAGTGTGTGAGCTCTCATTTACTCCGTAATGTAATATACATTGCCAATACACTCACATTTACCGAACTTTCTGCTATCGATTTTTTTTTACAAATTATTGGGTTATCATACACACCCTTTATTTTTTGTGTTCTTCGAAGGCTTCGATTCACTATATATCACTTTCCATTTCCTGAATTCTCAATGACCCTAAAGAGTCCCAGGTTATCCCGAAAATTCGAAAAATTCCAATATTTAATTTGCCACTTAATATATTTTCAAAACACAATCCTCAAACCTTCTTCATATTTTCCACAAACTAAAAATTCTTGTCCTTCATGCATCACAAAACGAAACCATTTTGCACCGGCACCCACTGCCAGTTCAACTCTTTTTTTTACAGAGAAACCCTCGTTGAGTAGAACAACTTAAAAATAATTTTGAACAGCCTAGTCCTCCTATAACTAATAGGCAAACTTACAAAAACTCAGCTATTTCGTGAGACCACTGTTACCGGTTTTAAAATTGGACCGGGCGGTGAGGCCGCCGCACCTACCGTCGGTGATATTGAATGGGAGGGTGACACGGGAGGTTGACCCAAATGGGTGAGGACTTGCAGCGGTTGATGTAGCGGCCCGGCAGACGCTGGATGGCCGCCTGGTGAACTTGCCAAATGATGCAAAGATGACAGATGTTGTTGTTGCTGCTGCTGTTGTTGTTGCTGCTGTTGATGCCGCTGATGGGCAGCAATGGCTGCGGCCGCTGCATGTTGTTGCAATAGCTGTTGATATTGCAGACGTTGATAGAGATCGGAGGCAGGTAATGAGGCAGCCGCCGCTGCTGCTGCGGCCGCAGGATGTGTTTGTGGTGGCATGGCGGCAGATAACAAGCGTTCCATGTTGCTGTAATTGGCGGCAGCCGCCATGGCGGGACTTACCCGGGCAGCAGCAGCCGCAAACGGTGAGGGTGGTAAGGCGGGATTCTTTGGCACAAAGGGATTGTAACGACCATACATGCTGGCCAACAGGCCAGGATTGGGAGCTGCTGTGGCAGCCGCCTGGGGTGGATAAAGGAACTGATTAAATTGCGGGTAGCCCAGGCCCGTGAACATGGGACCGATTAAGGAACGTTTAAAAGCTGCCAGCCGAGAACGGGAGGCGGCGGTGGTGCGTCTACGCAATTTCCCCGTCGAGCCGCCAATGAAAACATCATCCGCCGATGGATCCAGCATCCAATAGTTACCCTTGCCTGGATCATCGTAGTGACGAGGAACTTTGACAAAACATTTATTGAGGCTCAGATTGTGGCGTATGGAATTCTGCCAGCCCTGTTTGTTGTCCCGATAGTAGGGAAAATTGGTCATAATATATTCATAAATGCCGTTTAAGGTCAGTCGCTTCTCGGGACTTTGGCGTATGGCCATCATTATGAGGGCATTGTAGCTGTAGGGGGGTTTTTCGTTGCCTTTTTTGTCGGTGACGGGTTTTTCGTTACCCTCGCCGCCTTCTTTGCTTTCCGTTTCGGTGGCATCACCCTCTGTGCCATCGGCATCAACATCGCCGTCCAGGTCAAGATCTTCGGCCTCGACGTCTGGGTCCAAGCCATCTTCGAGATCACTTTCCTCATCTGGATGGTGGTGGGGGTGATTGTTGTGGCGATGATGATGATGGGGAATACCCGAATTATGATGAGGATGCCTTGAACCCTCTTCATTGCTGTTCACGCTCAACTCACTGCCGTCGGTGGGTGGTGGAGGTGACATGCTGGTAACATCCAAGTCCGAGTCGGCATCTGGTCCATCAACATCATCACAGAGATTGGTAAACGATTGCCTTAAGTGATGATCATTGCCCGACGTTTTGTTGTGATGACTGTTGTTGCTGTCCTCCACCGTTTCGGGTAATATTGAGTTGATGGAAAAGCTGGACTTGAGGTGAGGTGTTCGGGCCATTTTATAGAATTGCTGCAATTGATTGTGGGTATCAATCAGGGCCTGCTGATGCAATTGCTGTAGATTGGGGTGATGCTGTTGGGGCGACGGCGGTAAATTGTTGGTTGTCGTATGATGGCCGCCCAGCTGGGTTTGACTGGGAGGAGGATGCTGATGAGGCGAATGATGTTGCTGGTGATGGTGATGATGATGATTGTGCTGCTGTTGCTGCTGATGATGGTGGTGCTGATGTGGATCTGAAACTCTTTCAACAACACTACATGGATCATCGATTTTAACCATGATTTGTTTTGTTTGGTTTGTTTCCCCGGTTGTGCTTAATTAAACGGACACACAAACACCCGCGAAAGCACACTCACGAAAATCCGCAAACACTCTGCTGCAATTGCCTTAATTAAATGCGGATATTTTGTTATTGAATATTTTTTTCTTCCGAACTTTGCTACTTCATTAGTGAGGGTTGCGAAATTTCGTTATTGTTTGATTGATTGATCAATTATCACTTAAATTAATTATTTTCATTCATTCGATACTTTGTTGTAATCTCAATTAAAACACATTTATGCTAAACTATTTTTATTCGTTTTGGGAAAGCGGAAACATTAGCTTTTGCTGCTGCAAAAAAAGCGATAGAATCGTTTTACGCAATCCCCTTTTGTGTGTGAGGCGAGCGTTGAATTGCGGCGGTGTCTTTTTCGAACGTTAACAACGCCGTCCGTTTACGTGCAATG